AGAAAAATATATTCTATGAAAATGTCTGCATATTGTGGGGGAGGTACAAGAAGTAGTTGACTGGTGTTGCTCATCTCCAAACCCGATCTAAGTTTGACTATAGTATTACGACGTGACAAATTTGGACCAAATCTGATATTCCCTTCAAAAGTTATCGCCCGTACCAACCAGACAGACAGACGGACGGACATCACTAGATAGACCCCAAATGCCCTGAATCGTATTTGATCCAAGGAGATCTAGTGTCTAAGTTCGTTATTTGGCCGTATCAATATACATATCCGCTGAAGTAATATGACTAAGGATATAAAAAAGAGACATTGTATAGGCATAGAATTTTATGTTGATCAAGAATATACATACTTTTTGGGGCCTGAAATTGGGGCCTGTTATAGACGGAATCACAAACTAAATATATACTGCCTGGTATTACCCGGATTAGAAGTCAAGTTAATGTTTCAACTGCGCCCCCAGCAAAATGAGTTTGCAACCTTAAATCGAAAATTCTTTGTTATTAATCTTACCTCTTTTTCAGTCCAAGTTTTCACCTAATTTGATAGACGGGAGGTTTTTCACTGTTTCATTTTGAAACTGCTTTTTACGGGTACTTGCAACAATTAAATCAAAAATTTACACATTTCCTAAACTCTTTTGTAGATAATAATAACACCACAGTCAATACTCAAACACGGCGCAATAAAAACGACTCACATTTGGGTGAGAGACTTCTATTTACAATTTTTATTATTATCTTTTATCAAAACAGACTAGATCTCGATATAACTTTTAATAATTACTTTAAAAAAATTGCAATTATTACATTAATTATACATATCATAAATCTTTATCCACATTTTTCGAAGATGTTTTCCTCAATAGGACACAGCTAGTCACCAAAATTTCACAAACAACCATTATGAGAACATTAATTCAAGGAGACAAGATTGAGAGAGATGAGAGAAATACCATTTCAATTTGCCAAAAATGCAATAGGGCAATTTATGATCGAACACGTTCCCACAATTCACACAATTTTTTACTAGGTTGCCTTAAATCAAATTGTTCACAATTTTTGGGCCCAAGGCGACATGGAAACATGGGACATTCGTAAATTTATTTATATGTCCTTCATTTTGCACACTCGCAATGCATTAAGCTTTCTCTTTCTTAAAAACAACAAAAGAACATAAAATACGTATACACACACACGCAACACGACGACGACGCACGATTACTGCATAAAAGATCAAGCGACCGAACCGAACATTCAAGCGAATGACAAAAAGAATGTGTTTTTTTGTCATATATGATTTGTTTTTTACACTTTTTTTCACAATTTTAATTGTTTCCAACAATAAATAAATGACATTCTTTACACAACCACATTTATTGATGTTTTTATAAAGTTATTTTATTAATTTCCCTAGTGAAGCACAACCGACCGCCAAAATATTCGCGAGCAACTGACGTCACGATGAGGCCAAAGAGGAAATGTCATCAAATTGCTGTGAGCAACGGAATTAATGGTGAGAAGTGAGAGTTGAGAATGCCAAAGAGTTGCTATCTAATTGGCAGTTTTGTGAAAAGGAACATTTGAGATCTATATTTCCTCTTTTTGCCAGAGATGGATAATATGAATTAATGCAAAGTAACAAATGCAAAATTGACATATAACCTCAAAACTGATTTTTTGGATGTTTTGAAGATTAAAAAATATATATTTGATTCGATTTTAATAAATACTGATTTAAATCTATGTAAAATGTTTGAAGAATGTAAGATGACTTCAGTTTACTCTAATTACATATAAGGAAATTAGTCTATTATGTAATGGGTTCATCCACGGTAGAATGAGTGTAAGGTAGGATAAGTTTGGGAAAGTTGTAAAAAAGAGATCTACCTGTAGGGATTATAATATCAAAAATACTATAAAAATTTATAATCCCAGCCTTGAGTTATGATTATTCGAATTGTTGACCCTTTATGGGGGAGGTTCCGAAGCAGTTTGTCAAATTGACCAATTCGTATCTCACCTAAGACTGATATAAATATAACAACGTGCCAGAATTGGACTATATCGACTACTTCCTATACTTTATATGAGATATGTGAAATTTTTTGTACGTCAGTTAACGGATATAGCGAACTTCATCTAATACAGATTATAATGTTCAAAATTTGAGGGAAATCGAACATTTACATCCAATTTTATGCGAAATCATAAATTCCGATGAATTACATATTCATATCAGATTTCTGGTTAAGAGAAATATTTTGATATAGCAAGTTGTGATGAATCGCCAACTTTTTTCGCAAGTTCTGACATATACAAGTATGGGAAATTGTGTCCCTTTGAGGGTGAGGTACCAGAAGGGGTTGGCAGATATACGTCATACTCACAACAAATCTTGTGTTAGGTAAAATATTTGTATTTGTGTAATTTGAAGAGAGTTGGATGCTTATTTTACTGCCTTTGAGCGTTTTGTTTTTTACAATCTTCAACCCTATTTGGGAAGGTACCAGAAGAAATGGTCCAATTTCTACCATCTTTATAACAGATCTTGTGTTGATGAAAATATTGAGATGTACCAAGGCTGAGCGGAATCGGATGCTAATTTCGCGTTTTATGTGCTTCATTAATATTCAAAATTTTGACCCTTTGTGGGGGATGTACCAGAAGGAGTGGACCGATATATTCCATCATCTCACCAGATTTTGTGTTGAAATTTGAAAAGAATCTGATGCTTATTTCTCATTTTATGAGAAACATAATTCTTCAAAATTTCGACCCTTTTTGGGAGAGGTACCAGAAGGAGTGGACCGATATATCCCAATATCACACCACACCTTGGCTTATTTAAAATATTGTGGTGTGTATAATTTGAAGAGAACCGGATGCTTATTCCAAATTTTATAATCGTTTTGGTTATTTATAACTTGGGCCGTTTGTGGAAGAGGTCATAGAAGGGATGGTCCAATCTCTACCACCTTTATAACTGGTCTTGTGTTGATGGTAATATTGAGATATGCCAAGCCTGAATGGAATCGGATGTTAATTTCGGGTTTTATGAGCTTCAGGGAAATTCAAAATTTTGAACCTTTGTGGGGGAGTTACCAGAAGTGGTGGACCGACATTTTCTATCTTCATACCAGACTTTGATTTAATAAAAATATTGTGCTGTTTGTAATTTGAAAGTAATCGGAATCTTACATCACATTTCATAAGAGTTTTAATTATTCAAAATTTTGACCCTTTTTCGCACCTGAACTAGAACTGATGTAAATATTAGGATTTGCAAAGTTGGAGCAAAATTGCGTTGTCCTTTCTCTCCCTCTGTGCAGTAAAATATTTTCTTTGAAAATGTTGACATTTTGTGAGGTAGGTACAAGAAGGAGTGGACCGATATTGCTCATCTCCGAACTCGATCTAAGTTTAACAATAATATTACGATGTACCAAGTTAGGATCAAATCGGATACACCCTTCGAGAGTTATCGTGCACACCCACCAGCCAGACAGACGGAAATCGCTAGATCGATTTCAAATGTCCTGAGAGACCTATGGTCTAAAACCGTTATTTCGATGAAGCACGTTGTGGCCGTATCAAATAATTGCTCTGTTCCAATACCTGCAATAATCTACTAGTTTTACAATTTTCTTCGATATCCTAAAGAGAAAATCGGTTATCGCAGTAAAAACTTTTACATTCTTGAAGTTCTGGAACAGACCAAATACACACCCTCTCTAGCATAAAAACACAAAATGAATAATCTACAAACCAAGAATTGCAGCCAGAAAACTTGTCTAATATAAATTCGGACTAATTTACCTATTCAATTTCTTCGGACCCACTTCCCGAAAATGTTTTGTTGTTGTAATTACATACAAAAACCTACCTGTAGTGACATCTCGAAGATTTTATTTCTATTAACTGTTTAGAAAAAGCAAAGCAAAAGGTTTATTTTTGCAACTATAGAACCCTGTAACTAGGAAAAATTGATTTATGTCTCTTTGATTAGGATAAACCCTTAGGAAAAACCTGCCTTCGGTAAAAATTTCAGAAGTTTCCGCCAGTTGGGCCTGAGCTTAATTTCTATCTTATTTCCCAACCCTGGTTGTGACGAGTCTTATAGGAATCTCTCCTTAAATGACAGTCGCCGGCCACTATAAATGTCATTTACTTACGCTTATGTCAATACGAGAAGTTGCATAGACAAATGAAAATATAGACAACGAAAAGTTAGTTTTGTCTTTTTATCCAGGTGGCTCTCATCATGTTTTGCATAGTCAACATGCTGATTTACGCGTTCAAGCCACTCGACTTCGAAAACACATTTTATCGTTTTTCAAGAATTTCACTGGAATATTCCCATATTTTTCGATGTCATCACGTACTTTTCACATTTCTTTTATTATGAAATAATTTTCAGCTGACAAATATCCTACAGTTTTTGTTATTTTTAACATTTTTGAATTGAGTGACTTCAAAATTCCCACTCAAACCCCTGAAACGATATGGACGACATCTGCTGATCCCATTTTTTTCGAAGATAAACGGTGAGAGCATTTCGTTGTCTATATTTTCATTTGTCTATGGAAGTTGTTTCCATTTCCCTATCTTCTCTCTCCATTATATTGAGACTTGACGCAAGTAAACTCTCCTAAAATAAATTTGAACATGAATTTGAACTTATGTCTAAATTCCGTCATTCTATAAAAACGCACACTTTTACTTACTAAAGCTTTAATAGCTTTTTAACATTCCGCCGCCTTATATAATAATGCTGCCGTTTGTTTTTGTTCCATTCTTTGTTTTGATCATCTCATTCGTAAGCTTTTTCAACTTTTCTAGCCGGCATTTTTTGATTATTGCATGAGAGGACGCCAACCAGCCAGTCAATGGCGATGTAAACAAAACAACAGCGCAGTCGCCAGAGCTGTCAACGAAGAGGATGACAGAATGAAAGCAGCAGCATAGAAAAGAAGACAATCGATAAACGATATGAGTGAAACAAATTAGTTGCAAGCGGCCATTGTTTTTCTTTGCGAATCAAAAAAGTAATAAAAATCCAATCCATCCATCTATACAATTCCCTCAAACGTTGAAAAAAAAGCTGAAAAAAAGTTCTAAACAAGTCACGAGAACCGGGAAAAAGTATTCACAAGCAATATTCTTGTTGGAATCGAAACGCAACGCAGTATTTTTTACGTGCTAACTTTAGTCAGACAAGCGGGTCAGTGCGTCGTCCTCTTGCACCATTTTCCAGAAGAAGTGAATTTGAAAATTTATTTTTAAAATCTCAGCAAACGTCTCAAACGTGTGTCAATTACGCAATTAACTTTTTTGGTTTGGCATCGTCCGTGTGACTCGTATTTTTAGTCCCCAAATCGGTCCCTTGGGCAAAAGGCTTCAACAGTGTATTCTTTGTGTGGCAGAAAGGCGTCACTTTATTGGCGACACTTGAAATCCCCGTTTTGGAGGAAACAACCACCAGGAGGATCAAGAACAACACCAAGACCATTTTCAAAGGTATTAGTCATTGCCGTCATCCTAATGACGTCTTCGTCGTCCTCATTCCCCTACACATTGTTTTGCTTCAATCCCATTTGGCTCCCACAAAACCTACGCAAATTCTTTTATACTTTTACCTCCCCATCCCCAGCAGACAACCACCACTTTCTATGATTTGTTGCTTACTTTATCGTTATATTTTCCATTTGTTGACATTTGTTTTGATTTGTGTGTTATCTTTGGTTTATTATATTTTTTGTTGTTGTTTTTGTATTATATTTATATTTTTGTTGTTTTTGATTGGTATTTAGTTCTATTCATGACCAGTATAACGCCGCACCTAATATGATTAAGGACTCAAAGGCCACAAATGGAGGAGCTTTCGGAACTGAGTTGTGTGACAGCTTGTTTTTGAGGGTACAATTATAACTTTAATCAAATTGAGCTAGGTCCTTGGTAATTTGTGAAACCTATAGGACCTAGAAGACTGAAAGACTGATAGAAATAACTCATAGCAACATTTAACTCATCAGAAGAATGGGGACTTAAACCTTTACCATGCTTTTGCAATTCTGTGCAACATTCAAATGAAGCCAATAACTTGCTTCTGCATCCAAGGGTAAAGGAATTTAATTTAGGAAAATATAATCAAACCCCGCAAATACTTAAATTTAAAAACCCAAATACCAACATCTTTATCACAACAATACTATGTGTTGAGTGTACGATAATTTTGATTGAACCAAAAAGTATAGAACACCTTGAATATAGGTTCTACACTCTAGATGGTGGATCGATCTTCCTATCACGCCTAGCTGCGACGTTGTAGATATGTTAGAATCGTCTGTTCATATTAGGATATAGCATAATATATATAGGAAGCTAAACTTTCAGAACTGTATATCCATTAGAATGACAGAGGACGTAGATACAGGGTGAGATAAACAAACTGCAACAAGTCAGTAATAACAACAAGTCAAGCACCATAATTTTTACTTTTTTTTAATATACATATATAATATATATATTTTTTTAATATTATTGAATGAAAGCAAATAATGTCGGAAATAGCATCAAATTTTAGAATAAGTTTAGATTTGTTCGAATTGGTCTCTTTTGGCACGACCGAATGGAATCGGAGTTTAATTTTGCGTTATATGAACTTCGTGGATATTCAAAATTTTGAACCCTTGTGGGGGTTGTACAAGAAGGAGTGGAGCGATATATTCCATCTTCACATCAGACCTTTGGTTAATAAAAATATTGTTGTTGTTGTTGTTGTTGTTGTAGCAGTAGTACATGTGTGTGTTTGTGTTCTGCTAATCTGGTTCCAGCTCCAGGTTTAGAAATTCGGCTACTTTAACGGGCTGTAGCCAGAGATCCTCTGGAGTGAGTTGGGTAGGTTTGGCTGAGCAATTAAAAAGGTGTAGCGTATTGTGCGGGTCTGTATCGCACGCCGGGCAGGCGTCACGCACATCTTCATCAATTCGTGCCCAATACGAATTGAGGCGACTACACCATCCTGAACGTAATTGCGCCAAAACTACCCTGGTTTGTCTAGGCAGCTGACGTTCTTCGGCTGCAATGGATGGGGGTGGACTCCGAGGACGGCATTCACTTTATAACTGCTAATAGCATCCGCGACTGCATCGGTGTGAATGCCACTCAGACCTGCCTGATAGGCTTCTTGATCTAGAGGCTCTCTCATTGTAGCGCTGGACCTCCCTTCCTGACACGCCTGGGTGGGGGAGAGTTATCCACCATATGATGGTTGGGATGACTCTCACGGTAACACCCAAGCAGGTACTGCAACGAAAGCATATGATTATGCTGACGTAAGGGAAGGACTTTCGCCTCCTCATGTAGATGGTCCACTGGTGTCATGAGGAGGCACTCTGTCGCAGTTCTCAGGGCAGCGTTCTGGCAGGTCTGGATATTCTTCCACTGCGTAGCACTAGTATTCGCAGACCACACTGGAGTATATGTAAAAATATTGTGATGTGTTTCATTTGCAGATAATCGGATTCTTACATCACATTTTGTAAGAGTTATATTTATTCACAATGTTGACCCTTTGTTGGGGGGAGGTACTTGATGGAGTGAACCGATATTATCTGTTTTCGCGCCTGACCTAGCACTGATGCAAATATAAGTTCGAATTGGTCATCTTTGGCACAAATTATGGCCTTCAAACGGCCAATGAAACTTTCAACCTCTGCGCTTGCTTGAGGTGATCGAAACTTTGGTATTTTTTAGTGCTAACCTTGCTTTCCAAAATACCCCAGACACAATAGTCCAACGGATTGGTATCCGGAGATTTTGGTGGCCAGTGTGCTTGGTAAATGAAGCGAGGAATCTCATTTTGTAACCATCCTTGGGTGGCGCGTGCTGAGTGCGATGGTTCTGAGTCCTGTTGGAATGTCCAAGGTCTGCGGCCAAACTGTTTGCGTGCCCAAGGTTTTAATAAACCCTCCAGAATACTTTCGCGTCGATTAATACGAGCGGAGAGCGACCATCGGCTGTTATGGCGGCCCACACCATCACCATGGCCGGCGCTTGAGTTCTGGTGGCCAACGGAAGATGCACATTTTCAGCTGACCTCTTTGGCAAATAAACACGATCATTTTGTTTGTTTACAAACTGCTGGACAACGATTGTTTTTTCATCGGAGAAAACCAAATTCACCACTTTCGGCCAAACGAAGCAACTCTTTAGCTCTTTTGAGTATGTTTCGGTGTAAGTTCTTGCACTTTTTGGAATTTCAATGGCTTTACCCTAAACTCATTTTTTAATATTTGCCGAATGGAATCTTGCGATATGTTTTGCTCTCGAGCCATTTTTCAGCTACTGAGACTCGGGTTTCGATCAAGTCGCTTCTTTATTTTTTGAACCATTTCAGCTAATGTTGCTGTTTTCTTCCGTCAACTTCCTTGACGTTAGGCTACGCTACCAGTATCACGGTAACGAGCTATGGTGCGAGACACAAAAGATTTATTCACATTTAAATGCTGGAGTACTCTAACTATAGCCACTTGTGGTTTTCCAGCCAAATATAAAGAAATCACACTATAACGCTTCAATTCCATCACGAATAACTTTTTTTCTGAAAATTCTCACGAAAATGCTTTTGTACGCTTGTAAACAATATAATGAGCTGTCACTGGAATAATTTTAACAGCAGTCGCACGAGTGGTTTAGGAATGACAGTCTGAAGCTGGTTGTAGGTTTTTCATATCACCCTGTATGGACAAATTTCATATTTTCAATTTCAAATGATTGTGTAGACAAAATGTGGCTTGAATCGTCAAAATGTTGGGAAGTACAATTACAGGCTCAGCAACAATTTCAAAGCCAAAAATTAAGTTGAGTCATCGTTATGGGTTGGCGAATTTTGCACTCCTTTTTAGAAGAGCGTGAAAAAGATCCAAATCATATTTCAATCCTAAGCATGGAATTGTTACCTGACCTTGTGCATCGAACACAACATCCAAAACTTCCTTACTGCATTTTCATTTCATAGCATAATAAAGACGACAAAGTTAAAGAATACTTGGGATGATTAGACATTTTCCGCTGATCATGAAATATTTACTGCCCTTCAATATACCTACTGCATATTTATATTCTGTAAGAAATAAAACGTGAAATCATTGCATCACATAGAACTAATTCTATTTATTGTTGCTCTATGGAAGATATACAAAAACCTACGCTGCTAGGATTAACCTTCGTACTTGACCTGTCTTCAGAGAAAACATGATCTTATCCCAAGCCGACGATTCTTTACAACTTGATATATCTAAATATTTCTCTTAACAAGAATTTATGATTTCTCAGAAAATTGGACATAAATGTTCGATTTCCTTTAAATTTTGCACATACCAATATTTTTACCGGCATTAGATGAGGTATGAAAATGGAAAACTTCGGCCAGCTATATCTGTTTCCTCATGTATATTTTCGCATTTTCCAAGAATTTGCACATATTTCATATAAAATATAGGAAGTATTCGATGCAGTCCAAATCTGGCACGTTGTAATATTTTTATCAGTCTTAAGTCAGATAAGAATTGGCCAATATTGGCCAACGGCTTCGGAGCCTCCCTAATAAAGGCTAAACAGTTTGAATAATCATAAATCAAGGCTGGGGGAATAAATCTATCGGCAAAACCGACTTATACTATTTTACTTGTTAAGACCTTTTCCACTCATTCAAATACCGCTTTGGAACTCAGAGGAAATAAATGAGTGAAAATAATGTCCTATTTATAGACGACTTTTTAAAAAATAAACAGCAAAATCGGGACGATCTTACTGGCTGTCCTTATATAGGCCTTTATGCAAAGCCAATAAAGGCAATATTTTGACCTTGACGGTTGCTAACATTTGGAACGTAACAAATTAATTTTACACTTAATTGTCGGTCGGACTGTCTGTTAGAATCACTATATATGCTCACATTATTTGACGCAGAGCTTAAAAAATTGGCACCGTTGTTTTCTTTGTGTCTAGGAAGGTTGGTGTTAAAAATGATATATATCGGTCTACTTTTTGGGAAAGCCCCCATATAATGGTACCTTCCGATATTCGGCACTTTGATAATTTTAGCCAAATTTTTCCACTAATTTGTCTAAAAATTGGTATTCGTGGTTCGTTATGGTTTCTAGCTTTAGTTGCGGAACATTGTACATATAGATCCACGTTTTCGTATATCCCCCATATAAGTGCTACCTTTCCCGAAAATTTCCAGTGTATGTTGTCTATTGTTCTCTATTTCAGTGTTTTTTATTCAAATTGTTCATTTTTGTAGTTGATTTCGTAGGAAACTTCCCGGCTAAAATGTTTCAATATATGCAAAATTCTAAAAAAAAAATACAATTTATTTATGGATTTTGGTGCAAAAATACAGTACGTTCCCTTTATACCACAGTCTTAACAACTTTTCTTATGAATGGGTTGGGTAGGTCAACCCTTTTTACCTGGGTGTATATTCGTTTCCTTGCCATTGAATCAAACATTTATCTTTGTAAATACTTCATTGAAATCACACATCAGTCACATTTCAAAGCATACTTTTAGGCTGTTGATTTATATTAATACACTGTGAAAATAGTATAAGTGGTAATGAAATGTATTTGTTAAGAACATCGAAGTATAATTTTCTATATATTGATTTCTTTAACGTCATATACACACACTCGTATTTTTTGTATTGTTGAATATTATTTATTTTTGTTTTTCCAAACGTTGTGTCATTCACCTACCCCTACACATAATCTAAACATTTTTAGTTTTCCCCATTTCTTTTTTCCCTGTCATCCGACAAACCTGACAACCAAAAAATCATTGGCATGCAACATTCAATATCCAACAATCATCGTCCAATCCTCTACTCGCAACAACGCTATTTGCCAATATTTGAAAACGAAATTAACAATTTTTGCAAATTATCCCCAACAAAATGTTCGGCTCGATTTGTAAAAGTTCCAAAATTATCCTGATCCGTCAAATATCCTCAATCCCTAGCCAGTATTTTTGGAAGCTAAGAAATTTGTGTTGCCCACTGTATGCCTCAAATGTACTAAAACGTAAGCTTTTCCTCAGAAGTAATATCAACAATATCGGCTCCTGCACTTCGTTAACACTATCAGATAGCTACTGCACCGCTATTGTCATCAATTACAACAACAACACAATTTATACAAAATCCTATATCACCAACACCACAACAGCAACAACAAGAACATCTTCTACTGACCACCATCACCACCACTGTGCTCTCACAGCCATGTCACAAAAACGTTTCTTTCATGATGGAAATATTGTAAGTATATTGGAAGCTATTTATTTGAATACCTTTGGGATCTGGGTGGAAGTAAAGTGTAAAAAAAGTAAATTTAAATTTTAATTTATTTAAAAGATTAAATAATTTGTTGTATGTTAATCGAGTGTTTGTTTCTTTTAATTTTCTAGTTCAACTATTCAATGCAGGAGCAATCATTCGAATGTGTCACACCCACATCCCCGAATGGTTCGGGGGTGTGTGATGTACCGGTGAAGAAATATTATCGCAAAGCCGCTCACAGGTAAGTTTTTACCGAATTATATTCCAACAAAATATTTAATGACGAAATTCGATCATGATTTCAAATGGTTCTGGAATTCGTATTTTTTTTAAAGAAGTATTGATTTACACAAGGTCATAGTATGGCTAGGAAACAATATATTATGCATCTTGATTTAAGTTTCTGCAAGGCTCACCGGAAGTGGGTAAAAAAGTGGAATTTAATTTGATATTGATGATTTTGGTGGGCATTGCCCATTGTATTCCTCATGGAGGTGGAGGAAAAATGTATGACTCAACTTGGATGGTATTCTTCTATTATTATACCCTCCACCATATTATGGAGGAAGTATTAACTCTGGCATTCCGTTTGTAACTCCTTGAAATACTCATGTCAGACCCATCAAAGTATAACGATACTTCCCGATATTCTGTATTTTAATGATTTTTGCGGAATTATTCAACGGATTTGCTTCTAACTTCGAATTTGAAGTTTGTAAAGGGTACTACAAACTATGACAGAAAATTGACTATGCAGGTCCCCGTCATCGTATAGTTCCCAAATGACGGTACCGCCTAATATTCGGTATTTTGGTGATGTTAGCGACATTATTCACCGGAATCGTTTCAAATTTCGTAGTTGAAATTCGTTCTGGGTACTTGCAGCTTATGACTGAAAATTGTCTATGCAGGTCCACGTCTTCGTATAGATATCATATGACGATATCTCGCAATATTCGGTATTTTAATTATTTTAGCGACATTAGTCACCGGAATCGTTTCAAATTCCGTAGATAAAGTTCGTAATGAATACTACATTCTATAAGAAAAAACCGCGTTTGCAGGTCCACGTCTTCATTTAGCCCCCATAAAATAATACCTCTCGATATTCAGTATTTTTATGATTTCGTATTTAAAGTTCGGAATCGATGCTACAGCTTATGACTTATGAAGGACCACGTCTTCGTGGTCCCCATATAAATAGTTTAATCTGAGAGGTATTTTTTTTTATCTATGGATTATTTAAAATTTTTCAAGTTTCTTCAAAATGGAGGAGCATATTAAAAGTTCGTCCCGGCCAACATAACGACTACCATTTTGGTCTCGTGACAATAGGTCTACGTTTTCATGAAGTTTCCTAAAGCAACTACCTTCCGATATTCCGTATCATGATCGGTAGTAAAAAATGGTCAAATGGAAGTTCGATATGTCTCCAGTACAGATTGATGATCCTGCTTCGGTTTTGGGTTGCAGGGCTTCTTCTTCGCTTTGCGTTGTTACTGTTCAGTTGATCGCATCTTTCTCACAGCCACTGGCCACTGAAATGGAAACTTGATCGCCCTCGATGCTGCTTCCTTCAGCGAGGCTGGCAACTTAGAAGAAAACATACCCGTTCGCCCGATGTAGCCTTTGTATCTGCCCTATCCAAATGCTGTATCGCCAGCTTCTTCGTTTTAACGAGTTGCGTTGATGAATCGAATAATGGGCTCGGTAGAGCCGGTCTCAAGGATTTCTCAGTCTTCGGTTTTGTCTTTTTCTTCACAGCCTTTTTTGAGGCCTGCAGCTCCGTAGACTTAAGATGACCTTACCTGATTAACTGAACGGCTTGGCATGCTTCGATTTCGTTTTATTGCTCACAGCCTGTTTTAAAGCCTGTGGTTCCGTGGTCTTAATCTCAGCCTTGCCTTCCCTTGCTTTGGTTCTGGAACCTCGGAGTTTTCATTGTTACAGTCTCCTTCGAAAATATACCTTTATGTCCCCTCGCTGTAGCCTTCGTTGTACTTGTATCTGCCTGTCCTCCTGTTGTTCCACCACTTTCTCCGTTGTAACGGTTTGCCTTGATGAATTAAGTGATGGGATCGGCAGAGCCGGTTTTGAGGGTTTAGCAGGCTTCGATTTAGTTTTCTTCCTCATAGTCTTTAGACTAGACTTAACCTAAGCCTTGCCTGCCCTTGCTTTGGTGTAAAGTAGCTTCGGTTCTGTCTTTTTCGAAAATATGCTTTTATGTCCCTTCGCTGTAATCTTCATTGCAATTGTCTTTGTCCTGTGCACATGTAGTTTCACCGCCTTCACCGTTGCAACGGGTTGAACTGATGAATCAACTGATGGGCAGAGCCAAATTCTGGGCTTTATTTGGCTTCTATGTCGTCTTCTTTCTCACAGCAATTTTTTAAGGCTTGCAGTTCCGTATACTTAACCTCAGCCTTTTCTTGTTTGACCTTGCTTTGGAGAATGGTTTCTTCGGCTTTGAAACCTCAGAGATTTCTTTGTTAAAGTTTCCGTCGATACAGCCTCTCCAGTTGAGCAGAGTTTTCTCGCAGTCGTCATTTTTTTTTTTTTTTAGGCAACAGCTGATTTCACCACTATTCTGCAGGTTAGGATCCTGCTTATCGGGAGTTCTGTTACATTTTTGGGAGTGTTCTCACGGTCTCCTTTGGTATCACCTCTCAAGATGAGCAGGAGTTTCCGCCAATCGCCGTATTTTTTGCGACTTTTTTTCACCACTGCACAGTGGTCGCTGCCATTGGCCAAAATTCAAAAAATGAAAATCAGATATTTATTGTCAAATGTGTACACAGGAACTCTTAAGAGGTTAAGCTTTTTAGAAAACATAATGATCTTGGCTTCATTCGAACGGGACACTTCGAAAATAGCATAAAAAAAGAGAAAATGTAGTTAGTTGCTTTTTTCGGTGGGATCAGCAAAAAAAAAAAAGAGTAAAAATAGATCTGTATTACAAAATGAAATACATTTTAAAATGACAATTCTTGGCATAATTATTGAAAAGCAAGGTATTGACTTATTTTTAGTGCAGTAATTTGTGTGTTTAGTAGTTGCGTGTAATATAGGCGATGTGAGTGTTCTAAGTTGCCTTTAAGATTAATGTTGAAAATAAAATTGGATTTCAGTTAAAGTTTTAATTGTTTTCCCCCCTGAATCCTCCAATGTGATTTTTTTCACGCCATTAGTAATGGTCCTAAGATTCTAGAAGTGCTAATTTAACTTTCAGATTTTGTCAGATTTGTATGTTATGCCCAATATACTGAAGTGACTTCGCTCCAATTTTGTCAGTTCTATGGTGCTAGTGACATAGAATATGTTTTTGTTGTTTGGGATTGATAAGGATATAATTGAGGGGTGTTCAATAATGTTGCCTGCATTGTCTTCTGGGTATAATATTAATGTCCAAAAATGCACTGGAAACGGCTAACGAGTTAACAAATAGATATCCATGGTACTATCTTCCACCCGTAGCTAATAAAATTATAGGAGGTGACCGTGGAGTCTAGAAACAAAGATATAAAAAAGTTTCAACTAAATCATACCCGAAGTAGACGATTCTTCTGAGCTCTGACCCTTTTATAACGGGACAGCGAACGTTACTAATCAATAAAAAATCTATATTATTAAAATCTGCATTTAATTTACTTGAATAACACTGAAATTTATAAATATCCATTAGTAACTTTAACTTAATTTTATATTGAATTGTTTATTTTGTTTACAAAAAATCTATTTTTTTAAAAAGAATAATCAAATTTGGAATTTTGATTTGTATAAAAAATACTTCTATTTTTGGAGGTACCTTTACAGGGGGAATTGAATAAAAAATACTTCCATTTTTGGAGGTACCTTTACAGGGGGACTCTACCTGAAGGCGGGCCGTTCCAAATAATTTTCAGTAAGTCTATTTTTTAGCTTATTAGAACGTAAAATGTCAAATAATAGAACAATCTAGTGTAGAAATGTGACAAAAATTGGGCAAATAACCCTTATTCGGGAGGTACGTTGTAAGGGGACCATGCCAAAACATGCATTGACCATATCCATTTTGTCACATTTTTTATTTTTATCCCATCAAGGTACCATAACCAAAGAATCATATTGATATCTGCACTGAAAGTATTTTTGGCCGCTGTTCCCATACGACCTCGACCACTGTGCACTGTTCTGTATTACCGGGCTTATCGAGAGTTCCCTTAGTGTTGCGTTAAAATATGTTCTCTCGAACTTCTTAACCAACTTCAGGGTCGTCCTGATAAGCTGCAGATCCTTCTCAACAAACTTTGATGGATCCCCATTGGCATATCAATTACAGTAGTTACTGCTCTCTGAAAGCATTTAAGCCTTACGTCCTTGGATTTGGCAGTCTTAGCTGCTCTTCCACATCAACAATGGTGACTCTATTTTCATTCTACGACTATTCTCCTAACTTGAGAGTGGGCTCTTGCCAGTGTTTACCCATGAATTGGTATTGGGGCCGCTGGGACTATTCAGATCGACTTTATTATGAGTCAACCCTCTGCTAGAGGTTGAGACGTGGACTACCGTGGTAACCTTGTCCTCTTCCTCGTCAGAGAGGCGAAGTTCTCAAAAATCTACAGATATACTGTCCTGACTCACCCTTAAGGGTCCCATATCCGCAATGATCTGGCGAATTGCCTGCTGCTGTCTTTCATTGGTGATGTTAACTAGGTAAAGAGTCAGATCATTATCTGCTCTCAAGCTTCCTGTCTGTTTCGTCCTACTAGTGTCGAGTCCGATTTTAAGGTAATTTTTTTTTTTTTTTGAGGTGGAGGTAAACTTCGCACTTTTAGATTCGTTGACTGAGGGTGCATCCACTTCAGAATCAGTCGAAACAGAATTGGTTGTCTTGTGAATGGACTGAGGTCGAATTGTCTTGTGAATGGACTGAGGTCGACCATAGGTCTTGGTTACTAAACCTTATATTCATTGAGGCGCCCAGGTATCAACGAAGCTACTTTAGAATGTAGTCGGTATCCTGACTGCAATCCTCTAATACTGATGGGCAAGTGGTGGCAAATAACCTAGCGTTTATTTAAAGGTTTGGCTATTTTAAGGGCACCAAAAGATCGCCTCGTCAGTCTGAGGATAATTTGCCGAACTCGGGTATTTTAGACGAGACTCTCCCCCAGATCCTCTAACTGTTTGCGACTGCTTATTCAATTCACAACTATCCAGTATATCTTGCAATATATGCAACTGTGAACGCGCCCGATA